CATTCATTCTCTCATTGCAAGCAACGAAAGTGGAATGTCCCTGGCATGCTCGATAGAAAACAGGAATAGGGGAGGCACTCCTCCCCACCTTTTGAGAGGGCCATGCTGTGTAGTCGCGCCACATTCTATGAACGGTCGTCTCACTAATGCTGTCAATGTCGTTAGGGAGCACCCCGAGGACCTCCACAGCTCCCGGCTGCAACGCGGCTAGGCCGTGCGCAGCAAGAGCATATGTCTGATATTCAAATCAGTCCTCGGCGATCTTCTCAACCAGGTCTCCAAAGTAGATCCAGCCTCCCGAGGACCTCGCGTAATCAGAACAATGCCTCGCGAGATACGTTGCGCAGTCACCGACGTGCTGAGTCACACACATGAATAGACACGGCCCCGAAGGTGGTGCCCCACATGTTCCATATTTTTTTCATGTTCGTCGCCGCGTCGCTTTCCATATTTTCCATATCGAAGATTGATTGTGTCTGTGTGTTTTCCTTCCTAAAGCAACTGCGTATAAACAACTGCACTGGATTATACTGTCGGAGCTCCACGCAGATGTCTTGGATCGGCGCTGAACCCTCCTGCCTGGCGTGCGGGGCGCGCCAAAGGAAGCGCCGGAGGCACCGCTAGAGGGGCCCCAACGCAAATCCAAGAGATCCGCGCGGAGCTCTGACAGTTAATGTTTATCCCACTTCTCCCTCCTCGAAAACCACGATTGCGAAAGACCCGAGCGAGGTGATCTTCGATGGATGGCGATCAGGGACCTTGCTCTGAACGTTGCTGGCGATCCGGGACTTGCAGTCAATGTGTCCGTGCAGAAGAAGCAGAAAACCACCAGCCCTCTGAGCGTAGATGGTCTAGGAAGTTTCCTCTTCCAACCCCCTGCTTCCCCTTCGGGGAGGGGTATCCCCTCCCCACATCCCCCTCCCCTGGACCTGGACGGGGGGGGGGCGGGTAGCTGGAGCGTCCAAGAAGGCCCTAGACGGTTCCAGGAGGGCCTCGGACAGCCCAAAGTGACCTCCAAGATGGCTCAAGATAGCGCACGATGCCTCAAGATGGCCTTCCACATGCTCCAAGAGGCCCCAAGATCGCTCCACAACGGCTCCGAGACCTCCAAGGAGTTCCCCTGGAGGCCAAGATCATTCAGAAACAAAAAAAGAAACTCAATAGGCCTCAAGATGGCTCCGATATGGCCTAAGAGGGCCCCAGGAGAGGCTCAAGAGAGCCCAAAGACGGCCCCAAGAGCGCTAAAGAGCGCTTCGAGAGCGGCCCAAGAGGCGACGTTTGGGGCTCCCGAGGGGGGACCCTAATTGAAGCTCCCCTCTTTGTTGATCGAGTCCTCCAAGATGGCCCCAAGAATGCTCCTAAGGCTCCCAAGAGCGCCCCAAGATGGCCCCAAGAGGCGCCCAGACGACCCCAAGAGGCGCCCAAGATGCCTTCAAGAGGCTCCCAAGAGGCCCCCAAGAGGCTCCAAGAGGAGACACCACCATGGAACGTCTTGTCTGGCGCCGCCGCACCTGTGCTGCGGGGCGACGGAGAGGGAGAACAACAACGATAAGCACGCAAACGAAGGCAAACGCGCAGGCGGGAGGCCAGGCCAGGCGGGACGACGCAGGCGGGCGGGCAGGCGGGAAGGGACAGAGAGAGACAGCAATCGAGGAGCAAGGGAGGAGAAGGCGAGGGGGAGGAGGGACGGGGGACGAGGAGGGAGACGGGAACAATCGCAAACAGGCGGGCCAGAACAGGGGCCGGGAGAGAAGGGCCACCCGCGACGAGGCTACGGCCACTACAGCGGCGACGCTGATACTGGAGTGGGTAGCGGTAGTCGGGTTAGTCGTCGGTTCGTCGTGCTGGAGGCGGGCAACGCGAAGGGCAGGGCGAATGGCAGGGCGTGGGGCACGGCGTGGGGCTGGGCGTCGGGAAAGGCTTCGGGACGGGCGTTGGGATCGTTGTGGGGTGCCTGGCCGGCCCCAGCAAGCTGTGGCTTGGTGGAGAGGATCCCCGAGGCACCCAAAACGCTCAAAGACAACCCTGGGCTCGCCAAGGTGCTCCTTGTTCCTCCTCCTTTTCCTCCTCCTCCTCTTTTTCTTCCTCCTCCTCCTCCTCCTCCTCTTCCTCCTCCTCCTTGTCCATTGTCTGTTCCTCTTTCCTCCTCTTCGCCCTCCTCCTCCTTCTCCCCCTCCTTCCTCACCCTTTTGGGTTTCCCCCGTTCTGTATGATTCTGCATGCTCCCCTACTTCCCTGATCACTTTCTCGCCCCTGGGCATTGTTTCTGGTTGGGTTTGTGGGGATACTTTTTGGTACGCGAACACGCGAAACCAGTCGAACGCCGGGCACGCTAGGGCGGGCCGCGCCGTAGCGAAAGAAACAAACAACGCTGGTGGGGATTTGTTGTTCGCGAGCGCAAGCGGAAAGGGCCGCGCGCCGTCCAAAACTACAGCTAAAAAGCAGGAGCCTAAATTGCACACGGGAGAGAGAGAGAGAGAGAGAGAGGAAAAGAGAGACAACAAAAAAACAACGGGAGGTGAGACTAGCCGGGGCGGGCCGCGCGGCGCTCACGGAGGGGGTGCCATCGGCAGCCAGCCACCGCCGGAAGTGCACGCCAAAGTGGCTGGTAATGAGCTGTCAGTGTGATGTCCCGTGACTGCGGCGTGGGGCAACCCCGCGGGAGATAGCGGAAGCCGCAAGCTCCTGCGCCTGTACGACGGGCAGCACGCGGGGGGGCTGAACGCGGCAAGGGCTATGCATCCCTGCGTGGGGAGCAAGCCTTCAGGTGCGTCGAAGCCAGTGTGGGTGGCGGCGGAACGAGTGAAAGGTGACGATCGAACAGCAGTTCTCGCCGTGGGACAGCACGTCACGCTGGTGGGGACACGCGAAACGTCAACGACGTCGCGGCGAATCCAGCCCTGGCGAGGAGTGCCCTGGGATCCCCCCAACACCTTTCTTTGCGACCAGAAACAAAAAAACACTATACAAGATGTCCAACAACTTCCAGAAGTCCAAGCGTCGGCGCAGACTTTCTATGTCGGCGGGCGCAGGATCGCCCACTGGCGCGCGGAGCGCGCCAGGGGCGGCGCCAGAACCGCCGCCAGCGGAAGGGGTCCAGCGCAGACCTTAAAAGTCAGCGCCCAGCTCCGAAAATTTAACCCCAACCACGGCTTGCACTAAGGCCTCTTCATGTGATTCTACAAAACTGGATGGGTGTCGTGGGTTCTTGCCCGGTGGGCGGCCGTGGGCGTCTTTGTGGGCGCCACGGGCGCTGTCTCGGTGTGCCGAGGTTCCGCCTGGTGGGCGTCTTTGTGGGCGCCTCGTGCGCTGGCTGGCTGTGCCGAGGTTCCACCTGGTGGGCGCCCGTGGGTGCCTCGTACTGCCTACCGCATAGCTTGCAGCTTGGACCACAGCTAACAACACATAGGTTGTAGCAAGTAGCTCACACACCATAGCTTGCACCACAAAGCTTGCACGACATCGTGTGCACCACTGAGCCACACAGGGTAACATGCACAGCTTACACCATATAGCCTACACAACATACCGTACACCACATACTTTGCGCCACATAACTCACACCCCTGTAGCTAGCACCAGACATATTGGCACATCGGGCTTCGCCAGGTGGGCTGCCGTGGGCACCCCTCGGGCGCCCCATGCGCTGGCTGGCTGGCTGAGGTTTCGCCTGGTGGGCGCCCGTGGGCGCCCCGTGCAGCAGCTGGCTGAGCCGAAGTTTCGCCTGGCGGGCGCCCGTGGGTGCCTCGCGCTGCCTACCACATAGTTTGCACCATATATCCGCCGGCCCCCTTGTGGGGCCACCAGGCTGTAGGCGCGGGATTCGCAGTTTCCTGTACCAGTTGTAGCTTGTAGTTTCCAGTGTTACAGTTCTGCTTCTTGCTGGTTACTGTAACTAGGTGATTGACCGCGCGAGGGGGGGGGGGGAGGCCCAAACCAGATATTTAGCACCTCCTGGGCGCGTTGTCTGAATTGCTGTGGGGGCTCGAAATCAACACCCCTCACACAGATCGGCGGGGTCAGGGTCCAAAAACACTAGGGATTTGCCACATTTCTGAAATTCGGTGCCACCCCTCACGCAGATCCGCGGGGTCAGGGTCCAAAAACATAGGGGATTTGCCACATTTCTGAAATTCGGCGCCACCCCTCACGCAGATCCGCGGGGTCAGGGTCCAAAAACACAGGGGATTTGCCACATTTCTGAAATTCGGTGCCACCCCTTCATTCGGTGCCACCCTTCACGCACATCCATCGCAAGGCGTGGTAACCCAAACTGCGAGAACTCCCTCGGCCCTTTAATCGCAAGGTGTGGTAACCAAGCCCGTAAACCATACACGTCTTACCAATCGCCAGGTGTGGTAACCCCTCTTGTGATCAGTTGGTTTTGCTGATTGCGAATCGGCTTCGCATGAAGTTTCGATACTGCTTCACGACAGCGCCAAGGCCTCATGACTTAGCTCTTCCATGGTCCATTCTCCGAGAGAGGGGGCCGGCGGCAGGGGGCGAAGCCCTTACGTACATATATATATGTATATATATGTATGTATGTATGTATGTATGCATGTATGTATGTATGTATGTATGTATGTATGTATGTATGTATGTATGTATGTATGTATGTATGTATGTATGTATGTATGTATGTATATGTAGGTATATATATACGTGTGTATTGCACCACAAATTCCCCCCAAACAGCACCACATGGCTCACACAAAATAGCTTGCACCACACATTTTACTCAACATAGCTTGCACCACACATCCTACACCTCATAGCCTGCACACCATAGCCTGTTCCGCATAGCTCACACCACACAGCCCGCACCATGCCTCATACCACGTACGCTGCACCACACCAATTGCACCACAGAACGGACGGACACCAAACGGGCACTGCACATCGACATGACCTACAGTTCGGGGGTCCAGGCCGGCACACGTGCCGCCCTTGTTGCTCGAACAGAGCCCCCTCGCCACCGACACCGCCCGCGGGCCCACCAGGTGCAGGGCGACGCAGCAGAAGGTGGCGAGCGCCAGCGCCTGGGCACCGCAACTGCACCGCGGAAAGCGCGCGTGCGCGAGAGCAACCTTCGGCGGCCCATTCCGGCATTCGCACGCGAACCCTACCCCTGCCGTGAAAACGTAATGCAACTTTAGGCGCCGATTTTGTTTGTTTTCGTCGCCTTCGGATTTTCGCAAATTTTGGCCTCCGGGACCATCAGAAACGGACACGGGATCAAAAACTACCCCCTGGAAAGTTCCCCAGACGACTCTTCGACACGACCAGCACAAGTCGCATTACTTCTCTAGCGAGCACTCATGCGAGTCAGACTCCTGGAACGCGGGCTGGGATTCAGAACTTGAAGGGTGTCTGTAGCGAAGTGAACCCCAGCAGGTGTGTTCGAACCCCAGCGTCGGTTGAACCTGCAAGGGTAGGGTTCGAAATTGGTCGCAGACTGGTTGCTCTAGCATGAAGGGAACGGATCCTGGGGGAAGCCTGGCCCTTTTTGCTTTCCTCGCTTTCGGATTCCTGAGCCTCTTTGGGAACACCCTGGGCCAGAGACCGTCAGAAAACGACACAACCTGAAGAAACGGTCGTGGAAATGGACCCGTGTCTCTCAATGTCCCTGGCCTCCATGGCGGAGAATGCCGCGATCGACAATGAATCTAATACCTGCACCAGCCACGCCGATCAAGGATGTTGGCCAAACCTGTGCTCAAACCGAAGTCTTCTAAGCCCATGCGCACGCCGAGAGGCATTGTCTGTCATGTGTGTTTTGGCATAGAAGACATGCATGTGGGTCAATCTATACAACATGAACTTAGAAAACGTGGTGGGCATCATACAAGGCAGGTGTAAGAGAAAGGCGAGTAACACCATCAACTCGCTTCTGGCCTGAGTAGCCGCGAGGAACACAACGGCTGCCTCCCCATCCCTCTCGCAAAACGCAGCCCCCTAGATCAGATTACAACAAAGTCGCGCGCACTACAGAAGCATCGCAAAACTGTGCGTGATTTGCCATTCAGAGTCCAGACATGCAACGACAACCTCACCATGACCCCACGAAGACTGGGCGGTCGTGAAACGAGAAGCCGCGATGGCACACGTGCTACGCAGAATTTTCGGTCCGATGGGTGAGCCAATCCGAACAAGAGAACCCGTGATCGCATCGAGGAGCCGAAACATAAGCTTCCCGAATTCCGCGCAGATTTCTTGGATCCGCGCTGGACCCGCTCCCTGCCTGGGGGGGACCAGCTCTCTTGTCCGCCCGCCCCGCACATAGCCTGCACACACGCGCAGGAACACGCACGCACACCCACGCAGCCACGCACACACGTACACACGCGCATGGTAGACCAGAACGGCGGCCACAGTTAGGTACATTGCAGACACGCGCTGCAGGCAACACAACATGGCAACCAGCACGGCAGACCAGTGGCAGACCAGCACGGCAAGCCACAGGAACACAGACTGGCCTTGGGGGGGAGCATCGACCTGGAATCGGCGATGCATCGCCGATAGATCGGTGATGGGCCCCAGATGGCGGATCTGCATGTTTGTTTCTGGGCGGCGCGGGGAATCCAACCCCCATCGCGGATGAGTGGGCGATTGGGGGTTGATGCGTCCGCGTCCCCTGGCTCGTCCTCTGTCGCGCGTGTTCCCAGGCTTGTCCCATGGCGCTTCCCCTGCCCGCCCTATGGCGCGTTCCTTGCCACGTCCCCTGACACGTCCCCTGGCGCATCCCCTAGTGCGCCCCTGACACATCCCGTGGCGCGTCCATGCGCCCTGCGCCCCGCGTCGTCTTGTCCAGCTTCGCAACAGAATCGGATCTTGAGCTCGAGCCGATTGCGAGTCCCACACATTTCGACAGCACCAGCTCTGGACCAGCTCTGCGCTCAGGCTGCTCGAGTGTACGATCTATTTAGATCAGTTCGATCAGGATTTGGATGACAAGGGCGAACTGATCCACGACGTTATAGAACTCAACGAAATTCATCGCGGCATAACACACCTCATTTCAGCACGGCACAACACAACACAACCATTGGCACGGTACATCACAATCGACACCTTCAGCATTGCAATCGACCGTCGCGCAGTCAGGCATTTGAAAACGCTGCCATGCCTCGCGCTTCCCAGCTCTTTTCCAGAATCGTGGGTCGATCATGTTCTTCTTAGAGGTCAGCCAATGGCTCCACGGCCGCACCGTGGCCCGTCTGGCAAACTTGCGCGTCGGATCGCACAGCGCCGATTGCGGCATATGGGCTGCGCAGTGGCCGCGCGGGCTGCGCCGCCGCGGGCCTCTGTCGGCCTATGATCCTCAGAACGCGTGCTAGCCCCGACGCGCGCTCGTCCTCCGAAGCCCATGACTACGACGCACGCGGCCTTGAGGAGGAGGACGAAGACAAATACCCCCCTCCCACACTCCTGAGCGCTTGGACGTGCCACCATGGCGCGTGTGGCCATGGCTTGCCGTGCGGGTCCGGCGACAAATCCCGCTGAAACCAGCGGCGGCGGCCCCCCCTTGGCAAGTAGAGTGGCGGCAACACCCCCCCTCTCCTCTTTCTCCCCTTCCTCCTCCTCCCCCTCCTCCTCCTCCCCCATTCCTCCGTATCTGTGTCCTCCTCCTTCCCCTCCCTCCACCGCCCCATCCCTGATCCTCTTCCTCCACTTTTTCCTGCTCTTGTTTTTGTTCCCGTTCAAGCCCCTGGACCTGTTCCTGTTCCTGTTCCTGCTCCTGCTCCTCCTTCTCTTCCCCCTCCCCCTCCTCGACAAAACCGTAGCGCATCGGGAGTCCGACGCGCCTCGATGCCACTTACGCCACCACGCCAACACGCGTGGGTGGCACCCGTTGCCGCTTACGCCCCCGACGCCGCCTGACTGCCGCTTGCGCCACCGTCTGCAGACGGGCGGCGCTCACCAAAACCAGACTCCGAGACTTCACCCACTCTAGGGGCCTCGGAGGCAACAAAAGACTGAACAAGGCTGTGCCGCTCCGTGTTGATCGAGAAACGTCCTGTGGTGAGATTGGCCAGCACGCGAGCACTCCAGGAGCCGTGGGGTTGCGGTCCTAGGCGCTCCTTGGCGAACCGGCCGAAACAATAGCCCCCCCGCTCCACACACACACGCAGCACACAACGCACCACTGGCCGCCCACAGCTTGGAACGAGTGCGCGGCATGCTGCCGTCCTCCCTCACCAGCAACACGGAGATCATTTTTTTATTCCGGCCGGTAACGCTCGTTACCCGGGGGGGGGGGGGGGTCGTGCCCCCCGGGTAACGGTAACGCTTGGGCTGGGCGGGGCATGGCGAAGCAAGGGCGCTCTGCGATCGCCATAGTATGCGCGCGAGCAGCACTCTCTGCCTGAGAGCACCACAGTGGCTTGCGATTCGAGTACAAGCGCAAAGCCCGCCGCGTGGTCCCGGCACCACGCCCGCGCCCGCGCGCGCGACGACGATGATCGACGAGCGACGAGCGACGAGGTCGACGACGACGACGACGACGTTTGCCGCCTGTTTCGGCCTCCGGAGGCCGTTTTCGGGCGCCGTCGACGACGACGACGACGACGACGACGACGACGACGACGACGACGATTCGAGTACAAGCGCAAAGCCCGCAAGCACCAGCATCGCGCATGCGAGCGCCGCAATGGCCTGCGAGCGCCCACAGTGCGCCTGCGACCACCACACCACAGTGCGCATGCCTTCGGGCACCAGCATGTTGGAGGGGAAGACCGAGACCCCCCCCGCGTACGAGCGTTACCGTTACGGGGGGGGGGGAGAGGCCCGGGTAACGAGCGTTACCCCCCAGAGGATAAAAAAACAATCTCACGCACGCGCGCAGTGTCAGCACGAGGGATCACAGCCGGCGCGCAGGACGGTGGGGCGACGAGGGAAAGGAGCGAGCGCGGCCGGCTGCTGCTGCAACTTGGCGCTGATGGCGGGCCGCTTCGAGACATGGAGAGCGTCGAGGTCTGGGCCGCCCAAGTAGCCCAGGAACGCACAACTTTGGCCCTGATCTCGAAAGCAAGGCAAACATCTTCAGGGATACGAGACCTCGAGCACTGCCACTGAGCCCATTCGTCGGCCGAGTCATTCCCTGCTTTCGACCACTCTGTGGTGCGTTCATTTTGCACAGCAGCACGCGCGCTGTGCGCACGCACCCTGGCAACATGCACGGGCTCGATCCCAACCCAGTCCTCCACCCGCCCCCACGCTTGAATCCAGATCTCCACCCATGCGGCGCGTGAGGAGGCGCAGTGCTGGCGCCCGCGCGCATGCAGGCCATCGTGCGCAACGGCGATGTCTGCGCACAGCGCGGAGCCTGGCAAGGCGTGCTGCATTGCACGAAGCAGGGCCACGAGCTCGGAAGCACCGATATCGACAAGTCCAATGTCGAGCGTGCCACGGAAGACAGAGAGGCGCGTTGCGCGACGGGATGCGCAGCAACTAGCGCCCACGCAGCAGCCTAGTATGGCCCTGGGAGATGCTGATCCGCCCCAGAGCCATCGAGAAAGACATGCCCCCCCATCTCCGTAGGTCCTCCACCAAACCATCGGGATGGCGGATGCCGAGAGGGGGGCAAAGACGAGAGGGGGGCGAGGAGCCTCTCGTCAAACAAGCGAGGCAGGGGGTCGACAGAGGCACGAACGCGGCCGAATGCAAACGCGGGCGGCTGGGCCTCGGTCTACAGCTCCTCATGCCTGCCACACGCAGCACGCCTGTGCAGCAAGGTTCTGGGGACCTCTAGACACGCCCGACAAATTCTGTCTCGTGCCAGGCCAGGCTCCCACTGGTGGCGCTGAGGCCAATGCCCGGCTGCGACCACTGAGCGCAAGTAGCCTTTTCCCTTGTAGGGAAAGGGCGGGGCCTTGCAAGAGGGAGCGGAACGGGTCAAGGCAAGCCCAATGGACGAGCTCAGAAACGCCCTCGCGTTCAGCAACACTGCCCAACAACCGCTGCTTAATGACAAGGGCGAACCATGCCCGCGCCGTGCGCGGGGATTGCCCCGCAAGGCTGACCCTGCCATGAATCTCATGACTCCACGCGACGCCGCCGATGCAAGCACGAAGCCGTTTTTTGCGGCGGTCGCGCACGCAGTAAAAGGCCCGCGAACAGCGGCCCAGGGATGCCCATGGCCCCGAAGCGCAGCCACCGCGGAAACAGGCCCTTGCAGTACAACTTTCCTGGGAAGCAACTCGCCCCAGACCGCGACGGCGCAACTAACCCGCGGATCAAGCTGCCATCTGCAATCAGGGCAACGCGCGATCTTCGACGACAGCCTCAGCAAAAGAGAAACACTTGTCCCGCAAGCTGAGGCTCTGCGCGTGGGCTAGCATGGCCCTTGCCTCGCGCAGAGCCACGCTGCTGGCGCCGCGCGGCTAACCCCCATACTTAACGGAGGTCAGGTCGGCAGCCTGCAAGATGGTGTGTATACGAGACTGCCGCACATGCTTGACAAAGCACATGACCTTGCGAGCCCGGGCGCGAGCTGGGCCCTTGCGCCCTTGCCCACGTAGTCAACCGAGGCTTGATGGCGGCAGCAGAAACATCGATCCCATGCTTGCGCTCGATTGAGGCACCTTGCACCTGAACCTTGCGAAGCTCGCGCACCAGCTGAGCTCGGACCGAAGGAGACGACGCAACGACGCGGCTCTTCCGACGAGCGGCAGGGAGGCATATCTGGTCCAGCTCAACGCACGGCATCATGGCGGCGCCCACCAGGTCGGCGAGCAGGTCCCGGGGCCTCCCGACCTGGTAAGCCCAAAATCGCCGACGACAGCCCCGAGCTGGACCATGCGATGGCACTCGAGAGCTCTGTCCACTGGCCCCAGGAGCACCACCTGCAACATGAGGGTCGCGAAATGACACCCTGGAAGGACAGCCTGCGGCGCGCAAACACGGCTGGGCACTGCATCTTCCATCGACAGGACACGCGGAGCACGGCGAAGTGACACAAGCAACTTCAACTGGCGCTATGGAAACCCCGTGCTGGATGCAGCGCGTATCAGCTCACCGTGGCGAATGTGTTCGGACGCCTTCTGCAAATCAGCAAAGATGAGCCCACTCGAGAAGCCGCGCTCTCGTGCCCGCTCCGCGCTGGCGGCCTGTATACACGCGAGCTTGTCACTGCTGCGGCCGCTGGTGGCCCGCCAGTATGGGCGCGGGTGATCGGCCTGCCATTTGCCGACGAGGGGGCTGCGCAACCGCCCTTGTGCTTGAGCCAGGCTGTGGACGAGGGCCGCGGGCCTGAGGCCACCATCCCAGTTGACTAGGAGAACGGCCTTGGTGGATAACATAGGCCAGCTGCATGACCTTTCTACAACGCACGAGCTCTGCTGAGAGGCCTCCAGGGCTGAGTCAGAAAAAGCCGAAAGTTGCCCGGGGGGGTCTGGTCGAACCCGCAGCCCGAGCCGACAGGGAATGTTTTCAAGACCCGTTTCAAATCGTCCAAATGAGCCCGGGGGCCTCAGGGCCAAGGCCATCTGGCCAAACCAACTCATCCTCAAGGGCGCCAACCTTCCACCACCCAGACCACCCCTCCTCCAACAGATGAACCTCCTCACTCTTTCGCGGCGGGAGGGCCCGAGGGAGAAAGGCTGCTGGCGTGATGCGGGGTCACGGGCTTGCCGCGTGCATGCATGCAGGGCCGCGCCTCCGCTGAGCGCGCGAGACACAACCCAGGCCTTCCAGTTGAGACACTTGGACTGCTCTGCCGCATGGCGCGCGGCAGTCGCGCGCGCGACCTGCGCGAGCACGCGGGGAAGCGAATGCGACGCAGCGGCGGCAATGTGCAACGCAGCGAACCACGACTCGAACTCGCGCTCGGCGCGAGACGTGCGATGACACAGACGACGCGCAGGGCGGAGAGTGCCATGGCGAAGCGCTGGAGGCTGCCACACAGCAAGTTCGTCGAAACATCTGGCGCAAAAGCTTCCACCACAAGGCCTCAGCGCTGAGGCGAGGGAAAGCCAATTCCCTGCTTCGTGGCGCGTCCTGCGCACAAGACCTGGGGCCCTCAGCTCCACCGAAAAACTCAAAGTCTCTGTCAACAGCGATATCATGCACACCAGCCCAATCACGCTCTGCCGTGTCGAGCCGCAGCCTCCTCTTACTGCCGATGACAAGGTCCTCGGCTTGAACCTCGTCGTCGATCTACTACTTCGCGGGGCAGCGCGGCGGCAGCCGACTGGAATGTCCACGGGCAGCCCCTTGGGAACATTGGCGACCGCGTGCCTCGAATCAGTGCTACGCAGCTGCTTCAACTTGAGAGCGACGGGGAAGCGCGGCGCGGTGCCATCATCGACCAGGATCTCAGCTCGCGCCCCCCAGTGCAAACACTTCGACACTACGAAGAAATCAATGCACCTGCCAGCGCTGAGATAACTGTTGGTACATGTGGCGCGCGACGGCGATGCGCGCGCCGCGCCCGCGGCCTCCGCCCGCTCGGAGCCCGCCAACGTCTCCGGCAACATCTTGAAGCCGCTGCAAACAACGTAGCGGAGCGTGACCTGCTTCAGGCCCGCACCGAGGGTCGCCAATATCTGCCAACTCGTGGGCCCAAGCCCATGACCGCCTTGCAAATTAACCGTGGCATGCGCGCCACAGGCCGGCGCCGATGACACTGAGGAATACGTGCCCGCCCAGCAGCACAGTAAGCGCCAATAATCCCAAACCTGCGGATTCCCGACGACTTGGGCATCATCTGCAACGCTCCGCCTGCGTTGCCACCCCGCGCGGTGGAGACGGACGCCAGGGCGGCGGCATTCCATCCTGCTCTGTCCAACATACCCCCCCGCAGCTCGACCATAGAACTGCCAAGATGACACTCCTGAGCCGCAACGACATTCCGCGACCAGCACCTTCGGATGCTTCATGATATCCTCAAGCCCAACAACCCCCGTGACGCTGCTGATATTACACAATCGTGAATAACGTAGAGACATAAGAAAAGCTGCTACCCCGACGCCGCGTCTGTCTCGGCCTCCTTCTGCTTTATCTGCTTGAGAATAGAATCGAGGATGCCCTGCGTAAGCTCGTGCATGACCCCATGCTTCTCGGCAAGGATGGCGGCGGCAGACTGCGCCCGTGGCCCCGCTGCTCCATCGGCGCCCAGGGCAAGAGGATCGGCGGTCTGATGCTGGCGCCGCTCGAGAAGCCCTTGGGAAGAATCATCTGCGCGTTGCCGAGCGACCTCGGCGTCGCTGGCACCCCCGCTAGGGTTGGCGGGCGCAGGCTGCCGCGGTTGCTCGGCGGCGGCGCCAGCACCGGCAAGTGCCCCGCCTGCTGGCGGCGCGCCAGCGTCGCGCATGCGGGCGTCATCATTCGGAGGAGCAGGGGCTGCGTCAGCCAGACCGGCCCTCGGGGTGAGCCCCGTGAGCAGCGCGGCGAAGTTCTGCAGTCTCTGGCGTTCGGCGACGGGGTCGGCCAGGGCGCTGAGCTTTTGGGCGCGCCCGCCCTCGACGACGACAGCGGGCCCCTGCTCGGCTCTCGGCCTTGACGTTAGGCGCGTCAAGTTCGCGCTTGAGCTCGGCAGCCTTGGCGGCCGCGCTGCTGGCCTGCTCCAGCGCCTTGCCATAGGCATGCCGCGACTTGCCCTTCTGCTCCGACAACCGGTCCCGCGCGTCCCTGGCCTCCTTCGCCGACGCCGCGGGCTCGCCCTGCAAGAGCGCCCTCCTGGCGAGCACAGGAGCGACCTGCTTGGGCGACCAGACTATGGAAAGCTTGCTGAAGTCCTCGACGCTGAGCTTCGCATGGGCACCGAGCTACCCATCATCGAGGACGATGGATCCGCCGCCCCCGAGGCATGGCGGCCCCTGCTGGTACGCGCCTTGGGCCTTCTTGCCAGACTGGGCCGTCGGCGCGTTGGCGGGCGCGGCCTTGCCGCGCGCCCTGCAGGCTGTCCGAGAGAGAAAATGGCACTCATATCCGCACTTCTGGTCACGGCGCGCCCACGTCTTGAAACCGTCGCAGGCCATCGACCTGCCGTGAACAGCGCGCGAGTGCGGACTGAAACCGCAACGCAGTACCGCAGTGCAGCACGAGGACAGATGGAGGCGCGGCATCCAGTAAACTGGTAGGGGCCGTTGATCCCCTGTGCCAGACAAGACGCTCACGCCCCGATCCACGCTGCGGACTTGAGCAACAATGGCTACGGAACTTCCGCCGCCCCTTCCTCGTCCTCCTCCTCCTCCTCCTCCTCCTCCTCCTCCTCCCCCTCCTGTTATTTATCATGTTCCTCCGTCTTTCCTTGCTATGCGCGGGCGAAAGCGCAGTCTTGTCAGCGTCGCCCCCCCCCCCCCCCCCCTCGGCCGGGGGCCGGCGCGGGGGTTCGAAGTGGATCGCCAATGGGGAACCGCGTCGAGGCGGCGATGTGATTTGGTTTGTCGTCGGGGGGGAGGGGGGAGGGCTGCGAAGGGGGTCGCTGGGCAACGGATGTCTCGCTTGCGGGCTTGATCGCGCGCGTGTGAATGCTCGCCGGCGGGGCCCCCCGAAGGGTCTTCTCCTGCACTCCGGAAGCGCAGTGCGACCGCGTGGCGCCATGCATGCGGCGCTGTCTGCGCGGCGCAGACTACGCGGCACTAGCAAGACGGAGCAAGCTATTTCGCTTATCAGCTACAACGCTCACGCATGCATCATGCCCCTCCCCCCCCCCGCAGCATGTCTCGCAAAACGCATTCGGGTGCGACTCTGGTGGCCGATTGGGACTGGCCGCCGCCTATCCGCGGCCGCAAGGGCGCGCGCCCGCTCAGGGACAGATCGGCCCGCTGGATTGGCACGGGCGACGCGGCCGTGATAGCGCTCGCAGACGGCAACTTCCCAACGCGCATCCGAGGCCGCGCTGCCACGCGGGCGCTTCAGTCCGGGTCGGCGACGACGGCGATGATGAGTTCGTCATCGACGTCGGGACCAAAACTGCAGAGGCTGCAGGCCCATGTTGCGGTCCGTCGCAGAGAGCGCGACGTTCTCGAGCTGCCCCGATCGGGGCCACGCCGCAAGGCGCAAGGGTGCTTGCGCAAGGGCGTTGCGCCGCGCTGTCCTGATGGGGGGCTTATCCGTGCAACCCCATCCTCGGCAGATGAATCTAGATGCTGCTGCCCCTCGAAACTCGGGGTGCCCCCTCGGCCAGATGTCTGCTCCAAATGCGCCGGCGCGACTAGGGTTGGGGCGCAGGGGGGGGGGGGGGGGGGCGTGCTTCATGCGAGCGCCGCTGCCACTTGCTGGAAAGGGCGCGCCATCCAGAAAGATCGCCGCTCCAGCTTCTCCAGCCAGAGCCCCGCTTCTTCCTCGAGCCGCCCCGCTGGCGCAGCGCCGCGGCAGCGGGTCGACTTGCCATCGGGCGCCTGCGCGGGCTGGGTCGGGGAACGGCCGCGCCGGGCGGGGGCCCCGATGACGGGCCTCATCTACTGCGCGCCGCGGCAGATCTCGAGGCGAAAGAAATCCACGGTGAATTGAAAGTCGCGCTGAAAGATTTCGCCGTCGAGCGCCCCCTCGCGCGCCGGTTGGGCCACCTCCAAATGTTTCGCGATCTCCTGCTTCAGCAGGCCGCCGCCCTCCAAGGCCACGAGGCCCAAGGATGGTGCCACTTGTCGTCGGGCGTCGCCACTCCTGCGAGGCGCCCGGTCTCCTCGGGGCACCGCTGGTCGTCGGCGTCGCCACTCCCGCGCGACTGGTCGGGCGCCAGCTTGTAACCCTCCAGCTCCGTCGAGATCCCGTCGGCGACGGGGCGCTCGGTGCTCGTCGTGACTGCGTCGACGCATATGCTGCTGCTGAGGCGCAGCTCGCGAGGGCCGTAGGGCGCGACCTTGTGGGTCGCCCGCAGGATGGCGAGGAGGTTATTGTCCTTGCTGTTCCAAACCTTCTCGCCATTGTCGCCGCGCCTCGCCCTGCGGACCCCTTGCCGCTTCCCCCCAGGGCCCCGCGAGCCCCCTTCCGCGCCCGCGCCCGCGGCCTGCGCCCTCTCGGGGAGCCGCTCGCCCACGGCCCCCGCCGCTCGCGGCGGCGGCTGCGCGATGCGCGGCTTGACCGCCGGCGGCGGCGCCTCCTCTCGGGCCTGGATCCCCTCTCCCCCGAAGAGTCCAGTAGGTGCGCCAAGCTGCTCTGGGCGGCTGAGCTGGCGGGGCCTTCTCCTGCTCGCTCGTCATCTTCAACGTCGTCCAGAACTGGGGATCCCGTCGACGACGGGGCGCTCGGTGCTCGTCGTGCTTGCGTCGACGCATATGATGCTGCTGAGGCGCAGCTTCTGAGGGTCGTGGGGCGCGACCTTGCGGGTCGCCCGCAGGATGGCGAGGAGGTTATTGTCCTTGCTGCTCAAAACCTTCTCGCCATGGTCGCCGCGCGCCCCCTTCCGCGCCCGCGCCCGCGGCCTGCGCCCTCGCGGGGGGCCGCTCGCCCGCGGCCGCCGCCGCTCGCGGCGGCGGCTGCGCGATGCGCGGCTTGACCGCCGGCGGCGACGCCCCCCCCCCCCTCGGGCCTGGACCCCCTCTCCCCCGAGGGGTCCAAGAGGTGCGCCAAGCTGCTCTGGGCGGCTGAGCCGGCGGGGCCTTCTCCTTCTCGCTCGTCATCTTCACGAGCAATTTCGGGCGTGCGCCTGTCTGCCTGCGGCGCTCGTCGGAAGCGCCGCGCCGATGACCTGCGTGGGGGGGGTGGGGGGGGTGGGGGCGTAGTTGGACATGCGATGCGCGTGTCATCCAAAAAAAATGGAATGAGCAACGATGGTCGACCGTGGCCGTCATCCCTCGGCCCATGTCGATGGGCCATTAGCTGCGGTTTAAGCGTCCCAAAGCGCTTGCCACAACTTTCGGGATTACATGCGGGCGGGCAACGCGCGTCGCCTTCGTTGTCGGCCCCGGCCAGGGCCGCCGTGGCGGGGGGGGCGCGGGCGATCGAACGGGCATCTGGCAGGGGCCCAGCGGAGATCATGCAGCATTTGGGTCGGGGGGCGCGCGCGTCGCGCCGCTGGGTAAAATCGCGCGCGCACTCGCCCTCCCAAAGCTCCTCGCAATAGGCGGCTGCCACGCCCCCAGGAAACTCTCGGCGGCGGCGAGCGAGGCCAGGCATATTAAACCATCTGCAGGAAGCATTGCCCGCGGGTGAACGTTGGAGCCCGCTATGATAGCGCCCCGCGGCTTGCCGGCAGCTGCGCTGGCAGGGCGCCTGCCCGCCTGCCGCCCGAACTTGCGCCGCCCGAGAAGTATGCGCGGGCAGTGCCCGCGATGCATTGCAGCGCCCGCTGCGCTCTGTCACCTGGTCAACATGCGACAAGAAGTTCAATCGGCGCAGGAGCGGCCTGCCACTCTGTAAACGCCTGCAATGTAGCGAAGGAACTGATGGGCGCGCTGTTCGTCAACGTGGTAAACGGCCCCCGTCACCATGCCTCGTAGCTCACGCGCAATAAGAGCTGCACAGGCGACGTCTTCCCCGCGGGCAAGGAGCGCTATTTTCCAAACCTGGTCAGAGACGCCCTGCGACGTCAGAAAATGGCGGCCGATCTCTCGTTTCCTGCCAGGGGCCACCGGCGAACCAGTCGTGGCCAGAGCAGGTCCAACCGACGTTCCCAGATTGTGCCCGAGCAGCGATTTCACGACGAATGTTGTCGGCAACGTGTACATGGCCCCCATGACGAACATGGCCCTTGACAGCGTTTCCAAAAAAATGACGCTCGGCCGGCCCCTCGGCGGCCCCGCGGGCCCTCAGAGATGCCAGCGCGCCCCATTCACAAATGTCCTGGGCGCGGCCTCCGAGGCGCAGGGCCCAGGAAGCGCGTCGCTGCCAGCGGCGTCTAGCTGCAGGGCCTGCAGGGCGGCGCCGTCGGCCAACATGCTGCTGCATCAACGGGCCATCAATGGCGACGCCAAGGCACGCACCGAAACATGACAATGGCCCCCTTGCGCTTCGGCCATGCCGAAACGCCATGTCGAAACAAATGGGTAGAGCGAGCCCGTAAACATATCGGGCCCATTTAGCCCCCCCCCCCCCCCCCCCCCCCCCCCCCCCCCCCCCTCTGCCCCCCGGCAAACCGCCGGATGGAGCCCCCCCCCCGCCCCCCGGCAAATCGCCGGATGTCCGGGCGCACGCTGCAGCCTCAATGCAATTCGAAGACCTGCTCAACCAGCTCACCATCGCATCGAACAGCGCACGCTGCAGCGTGCCTCTTGCGGGGGCATGTCGCGACAGCGTCGCGCGTGTCACGGGGCTTGGCCAAGGGGAAAAACGGCGAGCTGCTCTCATCTTCCAACGCATGACCTTGGCAACAAGCATTAAAGACTCGCGCCGCCGTCAGCGGGCGCCCCCGCGGGCCCGCGAAGGCGGCGAGCACTGCGCCCCGTACTGGGCGAAGCCGATCCGAAGGCATAGTCACCAAATCTAATCAGAACAGCACCGTGGACCCACGAGCGAGCGGATGTCCGCGTGGAGGTTGCCCGTGCTGGTTACCATTCTTCCTATCGCGATGGCGTGGCTCGTGCATGCCTAGGCCAGCAGCGCCCGGCAACGATGAGCGCGGGCTGGCCGATTCACGAAAGGCCGGTAGATTGCGTCGCAGTGCTTGTGATCGAACTTCAGCCTTCGTTTGCGCGGCTGGAAGGGGCGCCTCGCAAGCGGGCGCGCGCGCGGCGGCGCCAATTTCAGCCGTGAGAACTCAGCGAAAAGCGACCGCGCACAAGGCGCGCAATACCTCCGGCACAATTGAGCTTGCATGCTCTGAGCCACCACTCGCCCATGCCTGCTCTGAGCCACAATTCGCGCGCAAGACGCAGCGCAAAATCGCGCGCGGCTTCCCGCGCGAGGCCCAGCGCGAGAATCTTGAACAAACTCTTTCTATTGAAAATTCGCATCTGCACTGACATGTTATATCCCCGATTGCGCCGGCCCTGGGCGAATGGTGCATCTCGGGTTCAGCGGCGCGATCGCATGCTCGACCGGCCACGCCCATGGCGGTTTGCACTGTCGTCGCTTCTCTCGCCGCAGCCGCTTCTGA